TAAACTTTTCTTTCTTGCCACTTTGGGATTTAAACTTTCAAAGGACTCAATTATAAGAAATACGATGAAGGATATAGATCCTCTTACTTTAATGCCCAAACCAGATACTCGAGGAAAAAAAAGAATGCATCTTTGGAAAAAGAAGTACGAAATTCGAAAATTGAAGAACACATCGAATCTTTTAATCCGTCAGTTTCCCACTATCGCAGATCGCATGCTCCAAAAAGAAGGTATTTACCAAATACTTTGTCAATTACGGTTATGTACAACGACTTTAAAGAAAAAAATATCTATGAATTATTTTCTTATGAAACATATCGCACTGTTTTCGAAAAACTGAATATATCATTCACAAAATTGGGACACGAGGAGTGCGAATGTTGTGAAAAATTCAATGTTCATGAACATAACAAAGAAAATCTCAATCCTGATTGCGATATTTGTAACGAATGGTCATCACATAACACTCGAGCAACACAAGCCCGCGAGATATATAAAAAGCATAAAGATGATTTGATAAATTTTCCTGATACAGCTTATTATGCTGCTGACTTACAAAAAGTCATTATGCTACCTCGAATGGATTCTTTTAAAACTTGCGTTTTTACAAAGAGGATTGTAGCTTTTAATGAAAGCATAGTACCAATTGGATCCTTTAAAGGAAGTCGTGTACCATTCGCTGCACTTTGGCATGAAGGCATTGCAGGCCGAAAAAAAGAACAAATTATAAGCGCGTTTCATGCTTTTTTTCTTGCATATCGTGATGTAAAACGATTTGTAATTTGGCTCGATAATTGTTCTGGCCAAAATAAAAATTGGTGTTTTTTTTCTTTTCTAATCTATCTTGTTAATTCTGAGAAAGTGGATACTAATTTCATCGAGATAAATTACTTTGAAAGTGGTCATACATTTATGGCAGCTGATTCATTCCATCATAGAGTCGAAGAATCGATGAAAAATATGGGAAAAATATGTGATTTCAGAGACTTTGAAGAAGCCGTACAAAATTCTGTAGCAGGAAAAGTAATTGTTAAATCGTTAAATTTTTCCGATTTTTCTGTGTGGGCTGATCATTCTTCTAAGCAAAAGTTAAAATCATTAGGTGATGCAAGACCATATTTGCATGACATAAAGCAGATAAGAGTGGTTCGAGGGAGTTCAAAAATTCAGTACAATTTGACCTATGATGATATTGAAAACTTGGAAGAATTGGATTTCTTAACGACCCGAGTAATTAAAACTGGCATTCCTACACCTGCTGTTCACAATGAATCTCGTGGTATACCGTTAAGGAAAAAACAAGACATAATAAAAAATCTTGTTGCATTGATGAAACCGAATAGACGACGTTTTTGGAACAATTTGAAGGTTACAGATGTCGCTGATTTAATAGATGAATATGATAATGAAAATTGAAAAAGGCATAAAGGTTTAGTGGTATAAAAAATTTGTTTACATATGTACCTGAACAATTTATACATCTACAAAAATTAAGATTTAGTTTGTCAATCATTAAAGTTATTTTCATCTTAAAAGGATTTGAAATTATTATAATAATAAACATTTGAAATCTTTAATTATTTTATTAAATGACCAAAAAAATGTGATTTTATTTTTAAGTAACGAATATTCCTTTAATTATCTAAATATATAATTGAAAAATAAATTTAAAGCTATTTAAAGCTATATTCTGGGAAAATTCAAAACTAAATATATAAATTTCTCATGGTATTAAATAATCATTAAAAAATAATTCTAGTAAAAAAAATTGTATCAATTAAACAGCAATCAATAAATGTGATTTTAAGTTTAATTAATAAAATATTATTAAGTTAAATTATTATAAAAATTGATTATTTTCCCTACATATTTCCAATATTGTTAAGTCTTTTCAGGATTATACTTCTTATTTTTGAAAACAAATTATGTAAATATATGCAACTATAATTTTTAACACGAATTTGCTAATTTTCAAGATTTAAAATTATTTTTATACGCATTATATTTTTTGTGACAAATCTTTAAAATCATAATTTTAAAAAAAAATGTCTTTCATTTTATTCTTTAATTTTTAAGATGAATTTATCATTCGGTGGTATATATAATTAAAGGTGGTGAATTTAACAATCTTTCCGAATCAACTTCTCACACAGCACCTAATTTCATGTATCGACAGCGCAGCTGTCCTAAATACAGAAACCTGCCTTCTTGAAAAATATTTTTCGAAATTAATTAATAATTTCTGAAATATCAAAGAATTAGGAAAAAATCGGGGGCATGGTGGGATACGAACCCACGACCTTTCTATTGCCGGTAGACTACTCTAACCAACTGAGCTACATGCACCTCCGAGATCTTCCCAACTCTTTGATACTTTTATACCTCTACTTTATTTCATGGTAGAGCAGTCTACCGGCAATAGAAAGGTCGTGGGTTCGTATCCCACCATGCCCCCGATTTTTTCCTAATTCTTTGATATTTCAGAAATTATTAATTAATTTCGAAAAATATTTTTCAAGAAGGCAGGTTTCTGTATTTAGGACAGCTGCGCTGTCGATACATGAAATTAGGTGCTGTGTGAGAAGTTGATTCGGAAAGATTGTTAAATTCACCACCTTTAATTATTCTTTAATTATTATTTTATTTTTTAGGGTTCCGTACACCTACGGTGTATCGGCGGAACCCTATTGGTGAGACTCTGTTGTCCGTAGCCAAATCGTGCCCCCCCCCCCTAGCGGCTAAACTATTTGACCTAAAGAGCGCAAATTTGGTCCAGATATGTATTTTCACTCGTAGATTACAGGAAAAATATAGCGAATGTGATTGGACGTGATGGGCATAGCGTTGTCAAAGAAATAACAAGATTTTTGGCCAAAAATGCATAAAAAGTGACCATTCCCACTTGATATGTAATGATGGCCATCGCGTTGTCAAGGAAAAACTAAAAAATTTAAAAAAAAAATTTTTTTTTCCTAACTTTTACATTATTTGACCTAATGAGCTGAAAATTGGTATCCTAGTGTATTATTACAGTCTGACAACAAAAAATTTATTTAAGAAACTTTTTTAAAAAAAAATTTTTTTTTTCAAAAAAAAAATTTTTTTAATTTTCTTTAGTTTAAACACGTGGCATTAAATATTTTAAGGAAGAGTGAAATTTTAAGAGAATAAATGAGAGATTGTTTTCTGACTTTAATTTCTTAACTAAAAATAAAAAAAAATTGGACAAGTGCGAGTTGTACTCGCACTGCAATGGCGGGTTCCGTACACAAATATTAAAACAATACTTGCAACATTTATCGGTAATTAGTAGAATTAAAATAAACAATTAAAAAAATATATTAAAATCATTTGATAAGAAGAAATAACTAAAAAAAATTAAAGTATTGTATATCTAATATTGTAAACAATAATAAGCAGAGGAACAAAATTTTCAAAATTTATTATAGTTCCTCTGCTTATTATTGTTTACAATATTAGATATACAATACTTTAATTTTTTTTTAGTTTTTTTTTTTATCAAATGATTTTAATATATTTTTATAATTGTTTATTTTAATTCTACCAATTACCGATCAATGTTGCAAGTATTGTTTTAATATTTGTGTACGGAACCCGCCATTGCAGTGCGAGTACAACTCGCACTTGTCCAATTTTTTATTTTATTTATTTTATTTATTTTATTTATTTTATTTATTTTATTTATTTTATTTATTTTATTTATTTTATTTATTTTATTTATTTTATTTATTTTATTTATTTTATTTATTTTATTTATTTTATAATAATATATTTTTACTGAATATTAATTAAACAAAGAATTTAAATAAGAGATTTTAGGACGAGTTTTCTTTTATATAATGTCGCTTACGTATCTTTTTCTTCTGGACGGCAGGGTTGAGCTCGAGCAAGTTTACCGAGAAATAAAACACAAGCGAGTTTGTGTTCTTATTCGTCTGTATTTATCACTACTAAAAACCCGTATATCCATTTTACAATAGAAATTGTTTTAAAAAATAATTTTTTTTACATAATGAGAAGCAGAATATTTTTTTATTAAATATTGGTCAAAAAATTTTTAAAAAAAGTTAATTTGAATTAAAGTTCTGGAGGCAAACAGTTTTCTTTGATTTTCTCAGTTTAATGGTAATGTCGCTTATGTATCTTTTTCTTTTGGACGCCAGTATTATCTCTAATCAATTTATCTGCTCCTACACGGAAAAAAATAGTCGCAGAAATTTTCAGCGACTAATCGAAGACTCTATCTCGGATATGAACGAATCTTTTATAGACTTTTAGAAATGTTCTACGATTTTAGCAGAAATTCTCCAAAAAAAGTCGAGGACTTTCTAGAAACCTAGTAGCGGAAAACAGTCTCGGAATTATTCTAACACTTCATAGAAGGTTTCGTCGACGAATCGCGGAAAATGGTGCGCACAAAAGTTGCGCGCGTTAAAACCAATAAACACTGTTTTTTTAACATTCTTTTTTAACAATTTATGACAATTGATTGTCAAGATTATTATTATTTTTATTATTCAATGTGTCGATATTAATATATACATTAAAAAATTCTAAATAATTTCCGCGACTGTCAATTAAAAATTAGAACGCTGTAGAGTAAATTCAGGTTTGTAATTTTCCGCGACTGTGGCGGAATCGGTTACATGCGCGTGGAGTCTTCATTTTCTTCGACAGTCGCGGAAAGTTTCTTCAAATGTAGTCTATTTCTTCAAAAACTGTGAATATGATTTTTAAAACACTTTCCACTAAATCCGGCAATAACTCTGTATTTAGTAGACTTTGTTTTGAGGGTAACTTATACTCAGAAAGATTGGATTTTTTTAATAATAATGTTTTATCTTTTGTTACTAACCTGCGCACATTGCTTTATACTGAAAATGGTCTTAATTGTAACCCGTTTATGTCATGAATTAATAAAATAAATTCATTTTTAATAGGCACTGTATAAGGTTTTGAATTTTTTATAGTAAACTTACTTCGTCGTCGTCATCCAGTCGAACTCGTTTTAAAGCTACAATTTCGTGAGTTTCCCGATTTTTTGCTTTAAAAACTGTACCATATGTACCTGAAAATTAATACAATTAAAATAAAATTTTATAGGCGTTACAAATAAAATTAATTTTTTACATAATTTACAGTCTATTACTTTTGTTTAATGTTAATAAACGAAGAAATAGTATATTGTGCATCTTGGGAGGAAAATGGTTGATTTCCAACGAGTGTAATTTGCAATTTGAGACATAGCGTAAAACACAAGTTGGAACACGACTGGTGGTGGTATAGTTACTACTGGTGTTTCTAACTGTGCTAGGTTTTCAGCAGACCAAGAAGATATTCGGATATTTAAAAGCTATTTACCGTTAACAAGTACTCAAGAAGTTGCTATTAGCGGAAGATACCTCTGAAAACGATATAGTTTTCTTCTCGAAAACTTATAATTTAAAACAGTGTTCTTTCATGTTATAGCGGATTTTTGAGAATTGCTAACGGAAGAAAATTTAAAAAGAGCATAGAATAAACTTTAGCCTGTTGATACAGAAGCGACAATCATGACGCTGAAACTGCCGTAGAATTTGCTGAATTGTTCAACGACATCTTGGGGTTTACAGATTGAGAAGCCGACGACGCTATCGATTGGATAAATAGCGATGTAAATGATCCTGGTTTCCAACTTCTATACAGAAAGAAGACATTATATCTTTTGTAATGGGGACTTCGAAAACAGAAGCAAAGAAGAATGTTCCACTGTACATACAAATGAATGAATTAAGCGGTAGAGAGATGGCAAATAAAGTAATTTTGTCGGGTTCCCCAACATACAATGATGTAGACTTGTGTGAAATGAAAACTTTCATCGGACTTCTGAATTATCAGGTCTACGAAAGCGTCCAATGAAAATATAGAAGATTTGTGATCCAAGGAAATTGATTGTATTTTATATCAAGCTACGATGTCAGTAAAGAGATTCCAATTTTTGCTGAGAATAATTCGTGATGATAAATTACAGGGCTGCCAGCGTACTTAGAGGTTAAAAGTATTGAAAAAAGTGAGTAAATAGTGAATTTACAAGTAAAATAGTGAGTAAAAAGTGAGGTTATTTTTGGCATATTTTTGAAAATTTAAATTAATAATTAATCTGTAATATCAATTTCTTCTCAATTTAATAAATAATACCTACAGACATTTAATACTTTTACCATCCATTTTTATTTTTTTAGACTTTCTTAACAAAAATCGCAAAATTGAGCGTCAAAGTCTGCCATGAATCCATATTTGACTATGAGTATTCCTACACAGCACCAAAACTTTCCTAAAAATTTATTAAAGATTTACATACTTGCAAACTTTGAAAAATTTACTTGCAAAGTTTAGTGAAAATTGTGCAAAGATTTAAGGGGACTTTCTGGTTTAGGATTTTAAAAAAATCGATTTTTCTTTTTTTGCTTTAAAATGTTCCTTAGTATCATAAAATTACTTTCCCAAAACAATTCTGAAAAAATATGCGAAAGAAAAAAGTTATAGCAATTTTTATGTCCGCTTCTTAACGGACTGTATAGTAGGTACAATACATTACACGAAAACTTTAAACGGGGAGTAACTTTTCTCGAAATCTACCAAACCGATTTCACAGTTAAACCCCCTTTTTTATGCGGGGGTAAATTGACCCTAAAACGTAGCGGTTTTGCGATTTTTTAAGTAAAATGTTTATAAAATATTAAAAAATACATTTAAAAATCGTTTTTTAGGTTTGTTACCTAGAACAAATACTTATGAACAGAATCCAGTTTGAATTATTAATTTATGAGTTACTGGTCATTCGGAAAGTTACTCCCCAAAAAGGTACCTTTTGGAAGACCCCAATCAGCACATAGGCTTGCCACAAGCTTGCATTAAACTTGCTGTGCAAGGTGTGCAAGCTTACAGAGCAAGTTTGTGACAAGTAACAAAATGTCCTATTCCTGCAATCTTGCTTTAAGATTATGATATAATCTTGCTGCAAGCTTGTGAGGCAAGTTTTCGACAAGCTTATTTGTCAAACTTGCTGCAAGTTTGCCGGATAAACTTGCTACAAAGTTGCTGCAAGCTGCCGGATAAATTAAAAAACTTGACACGATGCGCAGTTGAATTCTATGGCATTCACGGCTGCGCACTAAATTTCTTTGCCACATCGATATGTTGCTGAGTGTATATTTTGAAATTTATAAGAAAATCTCCAGAAAAAATTAAAATTGATTCAATTAAATTGTATATACTTGTGCAGCATGCTTGCAATAAGCTTACTGCAAACTTACACTACAAACTTGTAGCAAGTTTACCAACTAAGCTTGTCGTACACTTACCTCAAAAGCTTGCAGCAAGCTTATATCATAATCTTGTAGCAAGATTGCAATGCAATACTTTTTTCACAATAAGTTTAAAAAAGAGTATTCTTTGTCTATTCCAAACCAGAAAGTCCTCTCAAATGTCCCACTTCAATGAATGTTTATAGTCAAATTTTACCAAAAATTTAGCTTTAAACTTTCCTGATGATTTAAATTACATTTTCAACAACTCTATTATAAGCGAAAATGTAGCGTAAAACTTTCCTGAACATTTTATTTTTCATATTTTTCTGATATTCTACTTATGATTGAATCGTATAATAATCACAACCAACAATAAAAGCTAAAAGTAATTTATAAAAAATATTATCTAAAGTTTTAGTAACATTTGTTACTCTTATTTTATTTTAAGAGATGTAAGTACATCTCTTTTAGAATTTATAATAAATCTTAAATTTTAAAACTAAAATTTAATAACGTGGTTAACAGTTTAAAAACTTACCTATTTATTATTTTATTTAAAAAATAAAGAAATTGAAAAAATTTTTTACATTGCTTAGTTAAAAAAAGCACTATTTTGGAAATTTTGAGCCTATTATGCGATCATTATGCAAAAAGAGTAAAATTATGCAATCAGTGAAAATTATGAAGTATTGTGCGCTCTAGGAACATGTTGTTAACGGTTTAAAACATGAATTAACATAATATTATAATGTTTCTACTCGATTTTAAAAAATTATGCAGTCGCATAATCTACCTTTCTCTACTCATACTCTCTAAATCTGAATATGTGAAATTTCACTTATTGTACGTTATAAGTCGTCCTCTCGATCAATAAGTGCATATACACTTATAAATAAGTGAATTTTTCACTTATTCTGAGTGAAATTTCACTTATTATAAGTGTATATGCACTTATTGATCGAGAAGACGACTTATAACGTACAAATATGTGAATTTTCACATATTCAGATTTAGAGAGTAGTCAAAAATGTGGTTTCATTGAAAACTTTGACACTCTAATTTACCATTTTTGTATTGAAAGTGTAAAAATGTTAATTTTTATGGGAATATAAATGCTCCCAAACAATTGCGATTTTAGTGTTTGGTTTGTTTACTGTTTTGTTTGTTTACATTTTTCAACTTGGACTTGCCCTTAAATAAAATTTATTTTTTTTAAATGGAGAAATAAGGTATTTTACAAAAAATAGTGAGAAAAGTGAGTTTTTTTTAAAAAAGTGAGTAATAGTGAGTGACTTGAAAAAAAGTGAGTAAAAGTGAGAAAAGTGAGTCACTGGCAGCCCTGACTGATAAATTGACTAGGCCTAAAATTTTTGACAAAATGCTATCGCAGGAGTTCATCATAATGGTACATTAAGAGAAAATAAGCGTCAACTTTCTCCAAGCTTCAAACAAGCATTGCCTTTAATTCGTCACAAAAAATCGTGCTGGTTCTGTGTACTTTGCACTCAAAGGCAAACATTGATGAAGCTAAACAATCACAATCTCAGGAACAATTTTTTTTCAAAAATTAAAGAAAATTTTGAGGGTGGAGTATTTATTGCAAATTTAGATTTTTCGGAAAATTTTACTTGACAAATTCAGAATTCCGTTCAATCCAGTTACTGGTCTGACGTTCAAATTACTCTCCATCCATACCTAATATATTACCGTAAAAATAATTAATTAAAGCATTTGAAATATGTTCCGATATCCGAAAATTTATTTTTTTAAAACTGACTTCAAATTCGTAATCAGCGATAGCGAAAACTCCCGAGTAGCGAGTAATCTAATTAATAAGATTAAGCGAATCCGATGAATTTTACAAAAAAGTGTCCGTCATATTGGATCCAACATTTTGAATTTTTAAAAACTGACTTTAAATTTATAATCAGCAACACCGAAAACCCCCGAGTAGCAAGTTTTAAGCGAATCCAATGAATTTTCCAAAAAAGTGTCCGACATATTGGATCCGCCATTTTGAATTTTTGAAAACTGACTTTAAATTCATAATCAGCAACACCGAAAACCCCCGAGTAGCAAGTTTTAAGCGAATCCAATGAATTTTCCAAAAAAGTGTCCGACATATTGGATCCGCCATTTTGAATTTTTGAAAACTGACTTCAAATTCGTAATCAGCGACACCGAAAACCCTCGAGTAACGAGTTTCAAGGGAATCCAATAAATTTTTCTAAAAGGTGTCCGCCATATTGGTTTTTGGAGGTTATGTCAAAACCCTGATCTGATGGGGTTAAGTGGACCTCGGATTCGGATTCAGCGACCCAAAAAAGCATAAGGTACACCTATAGTGAGACCTCCAGATCAGAACCAAAAAAATTTTTTGTGTGGCTGTTTATTCAATAAATAAATAATAAAAAAACAAATAAATAAGAATAAACACAATCTAATAAAATAAATAAATCTATCGAGACTAGTTTCTTAACTATCCCGATGAAGGCCACGCCTCCAAGGCGATTTCAGGGATGTGTGAAGCATATCCTCGAGGAGAGCATCAACATTGAAATCGTCTTCATATAAGGAATTAGACTTTATTGTACAGTGAAAAAGTTTTAAAAATAATTATTTTCAACCGAAAAATTCACATTATAATGTGAATTTTTCGGTTTTAATTATGAAACTGAAGTTACCAACGGGATATTCAACGAAAAAATTAAAAGAAAATGTTCTCTAAAAAGTTTAGGATACTAATTCTTCTTAATAAAATTTATTTATTTTTAACCCAAGTAAACCCTGTAAGCCCTATAAAATAAAAGAAAGATGCGGAAACAGTTGTTCTCATTGTTTTGTCACGAATTTTCCAATAATCTCGGAATTTCAACTAAAAAAATCAAAATCACTGCTTTCTCCGACTTGGCAACCTCTTTAATTTTTTAACGGGCGCTTGGCATTAAAATAAATAATTATCAAAAGAAAAAATTGCTTTCTAGTCGAGGAATTAACAATTTACATGAAATTTCGTGATTACTGAAAATCAATGACAAAAAAATGAGAACTACTACTTTCCCACCTTTCTTTTTATTTTGGGGTTTGGAGTGTTTACTAGGGTTAAAAATAAACAAATTTTATTCAGAATAATTTGTATTCTGAACTATTTAGAGAAAAATATTTTTTTAATTTTTCGTTGAATCAATATTGGTAACTTCAGCTTAATCTTTAATTCCTAAATTTTAATACAATTTATACTTTTTGTAGATTAATCGATTCGTCTGGATGCAAAGAATAAGATTTTATTATATGTGACGCTCAACGAGAAAAGAGACCTTATGACAAGAGTAAATAAGGTCCCTTTTCTCGTGGAGCGTCACATATATTAACTTCAATATTCAAAATAAAAAAAAATTTTGAAAAGAGTTCAAAATAAAAATTTTTCTGAGGATTTTTAAAAATTCTTCCTTAAAAATCATTTTTTTAAAAATATTATATAATTAAGTCTCAGATTTTAAGAGCTACAAGCTAAAAGAAAATAATAGAAATGATTAAAAAATTGTTATTATTAAAGAAATTAATTTTATTCTACAAGAAAATATTTACATTTACTAAAATACTATTTAATTCAATTCGTCAATATGATTATACTTGTAAACAAATACGTTCTAAAATATTAAAAACTATCGTTAACCTTTCATAACATTGATTGAAAAAGTAAACACACAACATAATCACTGAACCGCAAACTATCATATCTGTCATATCTAACTTATAAATGGAAATAGCACACTTAAATAAGATAAACTACAGATGTCAACAGAATAAACAAGTGAATGAATGAAAAAATAATACGATTTTTAAAAAACAACAGTAAAATAACAAGTGCTTTTTGGTATAAATGAATAAATATATTATTATTATACACAATATTACTTTATGTCTATTAAAAAGATTCTACTAAACAAACTTATATTAGTAAATTATGAAATTTAATAAAATACCTTCGCCTATTTTTTCTAGTTTTTCATATTTTTGCATATTTTAATCTTCAAAACGCAAAGTTACAGTATAAATGAACTTATACTAAATTTTGAATTGTTTACAAATATAATCACTATTGTTGTGCAGACGATTTGTTCTACTTAAAGGTCTTCACACATTATTCACTTCACTTTTCTTCAGCTCTATGCACAAGGTTTACGTTGGCAGGTTGGCACTTTGGCACTGTTCTGTCCATTAAGGTGCGTACATATAGCCATTACCTGGTGGAAACTTTGAATTTGAATTTATCTATATTCTTTTTTAAAACAGTTATTAAATTTTTAAGGCCAACGCAGAATAGATCTGTAACCGGACCGCAATCGTAAGCGTAACCGTAAGAATGAGTTAAAGAAGGATAGGTATATTGTTTATCCTTCTCTAACTCATTCTTACGCTTACGGTTACGATTGCGGTTCCGGTTACAGATCTATTCTGCGTTGGCCTTTAATGTCGCATGCGACTCTGAAAGTCTATTCTCAATATGTATGTTATATGTATGTTGTTCGAGATAGGTTGTTTGAAAATTTCCGTGTGCGATATTCATACATTGTTGCCGTCGTTTCCAAATACTTATCTGCACGGAAAAGTTTTGGGGCGAGCAACTCTATTTGCTCTAGTAACGCTGCGCAACTTCACTTTGGTGCAGCAATAGTCGCAAAAAGATAGCGCAGCAGGCCAGCATTGGACGAGCTGCTCTACCAGTCGTGTATCTACCACTGACTTTCAGCGCAGCTCGTCCAACACTGGGTGAGCAGCGTTCCCAGTAGAGAGAGAAGCTCACCCATTTACAAGGCGATATGCCTTCTCTCTTTTAGGAAACCTTCTCTACGCGCGGAGAACGCAGCTCGCCCGAAAACTTTTCCGTGTGCCAATCATAATTAAAGAGGAAGAGAACTTGACATATGAAAAAAATACAAATAGTTATCCGTTCATTTAAATATTTCAAAATCAATTCAATTTTGCGTTTACAATTTTTATAACCAAATCAACTTTAAGCTGTTTCAATTAAAAATTTTATAAAATTTTAATTATTAATGAATTTAATTTAAAATTTTATAAAATTTTAGATTTTTGAAAAATTTTGATAATTCAAATTCGTTTGAAATTAGTTAAATTTGGCCGGTTCCTCTCTACGTGCCGCACAACACGAGTGAGTGCCGCATGGTGGCGCGTAGAAGCTTCCGTATACAATAGAAAAGGACAGAAGATGTCTGTATCCTTTTCTTTCGCATGCTCTGTTCCCGTATCCGTATTCATTCAGCGTTGGCCTTTAGGGACTTCTGCTTTGGCATTGGGATCCGAAATCATGTGAAACTGACCCACCTCTGTACCCACTTGCGTCCGACATCTTGGTTTTTTATCTCTTTTTTTTACATATGTTAGAGAGAGACGAAATGAAAAGACAACTACCGCAAGTGGGTCGACACCAGAGGGCCTACGCAGCTCTGCGGTTCCCAATTTTGTACATAACTAGGCCATGAGTGTGAGATAAGGCCAACGCAGAATAGATCTGTAACCGGAACCGCAATCGTAACCGTAAGCGTAAAAATGAGTTAGAGAAGGATAATTAATATACCTATCCTTCTTTCGTATCCTTCTTATCGTAACCGTAAGCGTAAAAATGAGTTAGAGAAGGATAATTAATATACCTATCCTTCTTTAACTCATTCTTACGGTTACGCTTACGATTGCGGTTCCGGTTACAGATCTATTCTGCGTTGGCCTATAGATGCAGATATATGTTTGCCATATTTGCACTCATCGCCTAGTTACAAAACGCAATGCAAAACTGCCATAATTTCAGCCTTAGGTTGAGTCCACAATAGCGCTCTTGAACAGAAGAAGGTATATTGTTTTATTAAGGTCTACGCAGAATAGAATCTTTAACCGGAACCGCAATCGTAACCGTAGCGTAAGAATGAGCTAGAGAAGGATAAACAATATACCTATCCTTCTTTAACTCATTCTTACGGTTACGCTTACGATTGCGGTTCCGGTTACAGATCTAATCTGCGTTGGCCTTTAGCGTAAGCGTGAGAATGAGTTAAAGAAGGATAGGTATATTGTTTATCCTTCTCTAACTCAATTCTTACGCTTACGGTTACGATTGCGGTAAAAATTTCCAGAGCGGAAAATTTACATTGGAGTAAGAGAGACAGATATATAGTCTGTCTCTCTTATTCCAATATAGATTTTCCATTCTGGGCATGAGAAAAAAAAAGACACAGACAGCTTCTGTCATTTTTCCTTTAAATGCCCTGTTCCCGTAACCGTTTTCATTCTGCGTTGGCCTTGTGGAACTACCATTGTACTAACTTACAATTGTACCAGGACCTTTATGTATTTACATATGTCACTTGTCAGAACTGTCAAAAAGACGTAGAACGTTTTTATAAGCAATAAATTTAATAAAAATTAATAATATTGGTACCTACGAATTTTTTATCCCAAAATTATCGATTCACAAAAATATGACTAAGATTTATTTAACATTTAGTCGAATTTCTTTTTTAAAGTCAATGCTTATAATTTAAAGGTTACCTTTGTGTCAATTTTTAATTGTTTTTACAGTATTCATTTTAAAAATATTTGCCAATATCAATTACATTTCATGTGCACTTTAAAAATAAACTTGTGAATTATTGATATTTGTGTCGTTGGAAATGTTATTAAAGCTACTACGAAATTAATGAAGTGACTAATATAAAGAATGGACATGTGAGGCAGAAAAATGAATACTTTTTAATAACTTGAAGAAATTTTATCTGTTTATAAGTACGAGATAGAAATATCTGGATTAAGTAAATGAAATAAACTTTTTCCTTCTACGTTGAGGAAACGGTACCTATTATTTTTTCTTTGCCGTAAGTAAATTCTGATACTAAAGTTTTACCTTTTTTTAAATAATATGTAATTTTTCGTACATCTTATTTTTTGAATAAGTGAAACAATAGTTTTTCTACTTTTATACAATTTCATAAACAGAAATTTTAATTTCAATTCTTAAGAAAGACATTTTAAATAAATTTGTATTAGATGATGTCACCTTATGCTTTTTGCTCCTTTTCTTATTAGTGTCTTATCTATTAAAACCTACTAAGGTAAAAGCACCAGTACCTGGTCATTGCAAAAAATGGAACCAATAGATGGACAGTAACAAAAAGAATTAAAACTGCTTTCAATGTAAATGAAAAAATAATATATGCTGTTTTTTAATATTAGCTTTTGGATCTCTCTTGGTTATAATTCAATATTTTAATTTCTAAGCACAAAATTTATCAAAAAAAAATTATAAGTCTCGAACTACTCAAAATGAGTGTCCAAGTTTACCTTCTGCTTCATAACCTCAAAAACCAGCAGCACCAGTAGTTGGACAAAAACTTAACAGGCTTTAATCTAATTAAATAATAAATTAATTAACATAAAATGACTAACTAATAAATTTAATAGCTGACAATATTAACTAATATACAAATGCAAACATTGTATGTAAATAAATATCATGCGTATTTTCTTATAATGTCCAACTATTGGTCCTTATCGTGTCCAACTACTGGACCAACTGGACCCTCTAAAAAGCCATGTCCAACTATTGCGGTAAAGAAGCAATTAGTTATTTTCTAGATTTATATTTAACTAAAGTAAAAATTTAAACTAATTTTTTTAATTTGAATTCTTTAATCATAATACAAACGAAATATAAAAAGTTTGGCAAGTAAAACTATACTATTTTTTTAAAAATCGTTGCTAAATTTGCTTCTATCTTAAAAGTGTCCAAGTATTGGTGCTTTTACCTTATTTACTACAAAGTTTAACTTTGTCAATCCAAATTAATCTATGTAATCTAATCAAATTTTGCTCAATGCAAATTTTAAACTATTAAGGCTTTAACTATTGATAAAAAACTACAATTAATTAATGTTACAACACATTGATTAATTTTATTTTTGAAATTGAATTAACATTGAAAATTTTAATTGGTCTTGAAATATATTAATGTGTCATTCCATTATATTTCGACTAAAGTCGTTGCCGACTAATTTTAAAATATTATAATATTTTGCAAGAATGATTTTAATGATATTATTATTATTACTGAACAAAAAGAATTTTTTAAATATTCTTAATATTTATTGTAAAATAAGCATCTAAAGTATATGAGGTCGTAAAAACTGTCACTTTTTCATTTATTAGAAAATATTAAACGAAAATACATAATTTACAATGGAAATGTAAAAAAATTATTAGAGTTTATTAAGGAGTTAGTTTATTACATATTATAAATAGATAGAAACAATTAATAATATGAAATATTAAATAAAAAATTATTTTAAAGTTCACCTGGCAAATGACCTAATTTTGCAAATTTCATTCACTAAATGTGAGAAAAAGTAATTATTAAATTGAATATAATCTAACCAAATATAACAAGTTTCATTTTTATCCAAGAAAATTATTTACATTTAAAAATCGTGAAAATAAGCAAAGTGCCAATTTTAACTTAAATAATAATACCTATATTTTAATATTTCTTATAATTAATTGTTTCTGTCAATATTATCTATTTATAATAATAAATTAAGTAAGTCTTAATAAATTCCAATAATTTTTTTACATTTTCATAGTAAATTATGTGATTTCTTTATATTAATATTTCCTAATAGATGAAAAAGTGACAATATTTTTTATACCTCATATACTTTAGATGCTTATTTTACAATAAATATTAAGAATATTTAAAAAATTCTTTTTGTTCAGTAATAATAATAATATCTTTAAAATCATTCCTGCAAAATATTATAATAATTAAAATTAGTCGGCAACGCCTTTAGTCGAAATATAATGGAATTATTCTAATACTTAAATATTCATGGATATCTGCATGAAAAGGGCAGATTTACAGTTTTTGCTGTTATAACACATAAAAGTAGTAAATTTACAGAAATGTTGTGATTTTTACAGTAAAACCTTAAAAATAGAGCAAAAGTTCATTGGAAAACTTAAAGAATTTTACAGATATATTCATTTTATAATTTAAATGAGATTTGTCTTACATTACAACTAGTTTTGACTGAATTTTAGACTTGAGAACGTGATTTTAAATCCTAAAACTAGCTCAATCAATTTTTAAACTTAAAAATAATTAAAATTTCAATTAAAAAACACATTTTTCAATTATTTTGCTTTTAGTTGTGAATAATTTCAGACTGTTTTGTCTGTGATGTATTTAACTACAAAAATTACTTGGAAAAGTTACAAATACAATGATTTTTTTTATCAACAAATTAAGAACTAAATCACAAATAAGAGTGTAAAATAACCTGAGAAGTGTCATCTTTTTCAAGTTTTACACTCCTCAGGGTAAGTTTAATTAATTATTCTTCTTTCTCCGTATAATCTTCTTTAATCTGATATATAATTATACTATTTTTTTGTTTTTTATTAGGTACTGTTTATTATTGTTTATAAAAGAAATATTGTCGGAAATGAAAGTAAATTTTTGCAAGGGTCCGACGTGTTAAAAAAATTTTTTCTTTAAAATTAATAAATTGGAATTATCTCAAGAAATAGAATCGACAAAACAGGCCTTTTTATTGTTTTCAAAAGTAATAAAATGCTTCGCAGAAATTCAATTATATTCAAAAATTTTAAGAAGTTCTCGACAAAACTTAAATTCTCTTTATAAATAACTAGCTGTCGTACCCGTCTTCGACGGGTTTTAGTTTCTACCAATACATTTAAGTTTCTACCAATCTGGAAAATCAGGAAATAGCTAGGGAATTTAATTTGACCGGAAAAAAATAATAATTAGTTACCATTATAGCTATTTTAGTAGGAAAATATTACTATTTGAATCAGTGATTGACTTTTTGTTATCAAATTAGTTATTTTAACCAATTCAAATGCAGAGAACAATATTTATCAATTTGTAGTACTTTAATTAATGTATTAAAAAAATTAAATTTTCCATACAGTTTTTGGAGTTATAGTAGAGTCTAATTGGAACTAATTGTATCGCAAGTAGACCCTACGTTACGACTGCTAAAACCTAACATAAGACCTAAATTTTAGGCTGAAAGTAGGGCTTAAATTTTGACTCGGGTCTGTTTTCATAAATATTATACATCAATAAAAATTGAAGTAAAAAGCAATTTTTTAAAAGCGAATTAATATAATGAAACTTTTTCTTAATTTGATAGGAAAATTCCCGGTTCGGCATATTCCCAGCTTTTTACAGTTTTTCCCGTTTGGTAGATACCCAGTTAAATGTATTAGTATAAACAGAAAACTGTACGACAGCAAGTAATACAATCTATATTTATATGAACTTAAGAAACAGTATTTTCATAAAATAAGTAAATTTTTATAGCCATTTGTAGATTTATTTATGGATAAAATCAAGTAAATTTAAATTTGACAAAAAAGAGATAAACCGTGAAAAGTTTGGACAAAGCAGGGAATTTTGTTAAACAAAAATAGACACCGTGTTAACTTTTGTCTTTACATTGCTCAAAACATCTCTTAAAGTTAAATCTAGAGTTAAAATGAAAAAACGTTTTAACATGTAAGTTTTTGCCTAGTGGCATAATATGCTTGTATTGTATCACAGGTGACTTACAATTCTTGACATCCTGCGAAATCATTTTAATCATAAAAAATTTCCATTTTCAATATTTCTGAACTTCTTGAAAATATTAGATTGATTTGATAAATAATTTTGAATTGCACTATTTTGACATCAAAATATTAATCAGAGACTCCAAAAATACTACTGAATTATACTTTATACTTCATATAGTAATTAGTATCGATTTTTTGATATATTGAAAATTTTTTTATATTTCTTGTAGGATAGTATTTTTTGCAAAATTATGATAAAATCTGACTAAATAACATATAATATTCATTTTTAGAAAGTTTAAAAGCTATCCATTAAAAATTGTGAAATTTGGAAATTTTCCATTTTTCAAGTTTTTGAAAATATTTTTATATTTACATCTTAGTTGTAGAATAGTATTTTTTGAAAAATTATGCTAAAATGTGACCAAATAACATGTAATACTCAAATATAGAAAGTTTAAAAGCAATCCATAAAAAAATGTAAAATTTTGAAATTTTCGATTTTTTGAAAACATTTTTATACTTACATATTAGTTATAGGACTTTATTTTTTGCAAAGTTATGCTATAATGTGACTAAATAACATATAATACTCAAGTATATAAACTTCAAAAGCAATCCATGAAAAATAAAAAATTTTGAAATTTTCGATTTTTTGAATTTTTTGAAAAAATTGAATATCTCCCGTTCTAATTAATATTTTTTAAATCTGTAAATTTATAAACCTTCCTTGGGTCAATACCTAATAACCTACCAAGTTGGACTTAAATCGATTCACATGTTTTTGTGTGATTGGGGTACAAAGTTTTTGTGACAGACAAACATACATACATACATACATACATACATACATACATACATACATACATACATACATACATTAAATTTTTTAAGAACATTTTTGGAATCTCTGATGTCCATAATAACTAATCATGTTAACATTTTGAAGTTTTAAGCAATGTACAGACAGACATCTGATTTTATTAATAAGGATAAAATTCTTCTCCGAAATTCAATTATTTTGAAAAATTTTCCTCTACTGAATGATTTTCAATATTTACTATTTTAATAAAATTTTCTAAAATAATTGAATTGTTTAAAAAAAAATTTAATAAAATTCGTCGAAAACCATTAATTTATTATTTTGATAAATAATAAAGATTTCACAGGAATTCTATAATTTACAAATTTTTTTTATAAATTTCTTTGCAATAATTCAATTATTTTCATAAATAATAAAACTTCTCGCAGAATTTTAATTATTTTTAAAACAATTTTAAATGAATTCCTCGACAAATGCAATTATTTTTTAAAATTTTATTAAAATTCTTCGAAAATGTTCAATTATTTTAAGAAATTTTGATAAAATTCTTTATAAGAATTCAATTTTAAGAAAGATTTAGGTTTATTTTTGTATTTAAATAATTGAATTCTGGTAGAATTTTCTGATAGAAAAAAAATTTTAAAGTGAATTTCAGTTAAAATTTTACATAATAATTGAATATTAAAAGCATTATAGCATGAATTTCTAAAAATAATTGAATTTTGATAAAAGTTTCAAATTGAAATCTTTGAACATCTGAAAACATCAAACATCATTTGAATTAAAAATTCTATGGAACTAATTTTTTCAAAAAGTTTAATTGATTTTTTTTAAATTATTCGAACTTTTTATTTTCTAATATATATTTAATTGAAGAATTTCCGAATAATCGAAATTTCGTAAAGTTGAATTGTAAACAAATGCATTTGAAAATTCTCAACAAATTTTTTTTTAAATTATTAAAAATAATTGATTTAAAGGAGAATTTTAGTTAAAAATTCTAGAAAATAATAATTGAATTGAAATGATGAAAATCATTTGGAAGAAGTTACAGTAAAAATATTCTTATAGTACAAAATAATGATCTTATTATTCGGTTATCTTTAATTATTATAACTTGTTGAATTTCAAAAAGGTTTGAATTTAAAATTTTTGAAAATCTTAATTTCTATGGAAAAGAAATAATGATTAAATATTTATTAAAAAAAGAAGTTATTGCTGTTTTGGAATAATTTTACAATTAAAGAAATTTGTAAATAAATGTAATAGAACATTTTATTGAGTATCTAATCATTTTGAGACAGACCGAAACCAATTAAATTTGACAAATATTTTTTTGATTACACAAAAAAATGTTTATAATAAATAAGTTCTTTTACAGGGACCTAGCTTTAAACTTTGATTATAGAAAAATTGAATTAGTGAAATATTACCCTAAATAGAAACAAATGAATTGCCCTTTATACAATTTTAAAAATAAATATTTATTTTCATCATTAACTCGCATTATTTACATTTTCAGGTAAATGAAGAACATTCGCTATGAGGATTTTAAACTGTGTGATAATTTTGTCACTTTTTCTGGCATCAATAAATTGTAGTGACATCACTACTGCTGTTTTTGGAAATGTATTGGATGGAATGCCAGCTGCATTTGGTGACTTCAATTCCGATGAACTCACCGATGTCTTTGTAATTCGAAATAATGGCAAAACCGTGCAAGTTATGCTAGCTGCTGAACAAGAGCCGCTTTTACGCATATCGAAAAACCTTACTTGCAGTTTTCACGATGAGCAAATTACAAACGTTGTTCCCGGAGATTTCGATGGAGATGTATTCATGGATGTTCTGGTGACAACTCTCAACAAAGATGATCAGCTGACAAATGTATACATTCTTTGGGGCAGCAACGGTGAATGGAGTTGCAGCAATGTCACAAATCCGACTATAAAAATAAAGGGCCAACCTTTGTCCATTGATTATAATCATGACATGATAATCGATTTATTTGGTGTGGACACCAATGACAAGAGAATGTTCTGGACATTTAACAGGAACAGAACCAAGCCCACAGCTATTGAGATGAGCAATACGGATAACAAGTTGTCTGAAATAAGCAGTCCTCACTCTAATGCATTTCTGGACATCAATAATGATTTTATTCCCGATCTTCTCTTGACCACAAAAAAGAATTTTGAAGTTTGGTTGGGAAATGTATCTGAAGGCTTCCACTTTGATCACAAAATAGATTATCCTTACAATTTTTCAAAAGATCATTTTTCTGGGCATATAGGTCAATCTCTGTATTTTGACGCAGAATCAACGGGAAAAATTGATCTCGTCTTACCATTGTGCTTTGATCGTCTTTGCAAAAATAGTACTATTATGATATACTCCGATGAATGGTACGACTTGCACATTAATTTTAAAGACGACAATAATAATGTGTGGGGCTTTGTTCCTGAAAAGAGTGGTATGTATACGGAAACAATAACTCTTCGCGGTGGAGATTTCAATATGGACGGTTATCCGGATTTACTTGCTACTTTGGGTTCGAATTCCCAATCGAACAGAGCATTTTTATTACTGAATGTCCACTGCAGCAAGTGTGGTAAATTTAAACGAACCTTTGAAGTTCAGTGGAATGCATTGAGTCCATTTTACAATAACAGCGTTATGGCTGTGTTTTATGATTTTTACCAAGACGGCTTTCTGGATGTGATTCTCGTAACGAATGATAATGCCAAAAAAGAATATCGCACGGCTGCTTTTAAAAATAGTATCGATTACGATGCCAACTTTGTTAAAGTAATGGTTCTCACTGGTCTTACAAACAGTATGTATCCGATTTCACCTGGTACGCTAGGCAAAAAGAAGAGGACTTATGGAACTAATTTACCTGGTCCATCGATTGCGTACAAGACAACAACCCAAGATGGAAGTCCACGAAATGGGATAGCTGCGCAGTTGCCACAGAGTGCATATCACTCATTAAATTTACCGTACACTACCTTTGGCTTAGGAAGAACTCCGAACTTTGTGGATTCTCTTATAATTGGCGTAAGTGTGACTACAATCTACATATTTCTAATTTTAAAATAAGCTCCAAATTCCTTCCACTAAAACTTCCTAAGTTCTGACTCATCGCCATCCGACGACAACAACTGATCTAGCTAACTCTATATGTGCTAAAGAAAATTATAAATTAATATAATATTTTAAAAACTAATCTTCTTTATAATTTCAGGTAAATGGAGAGTATAAGGAATGGCCACAAATAATTCCTAATTCTCAAATGGTTGTGATTCCTAACCCGATTTCCGAACCAAATAGATGGAAAGCACAGCTATTCGTAACGCCCAGCAAACTAATTCAGTTGAGTGCTGTAGCACTTACGGGAACTTGCGGTTTAATAACAGCAATTATTCTTATTCTGTATTGGAAGGAAAGGCGAGAAGATAAAATTGAAAAACTTCAAGAGGCACATAGATTTCATTTTGATGCTATGTAAATATTTAATGTTAAGTTGTAAATAATTTATTTAATAAAACAATAATAAATTTATAATTCAGTTATATTCATAATTGCAACAAGTATACATTAATAGATGTTCACCTCTTAAGTGTCAGGCTAAAATACCCTCCGAGTAACCAATTGAACCGCCGGATCGTAGAAGGGCATTTGTGCATACGCGTGAAACTCAGTGCTTCAAGTTGGCCCCTGACATGATTTTTTTTTAATTTTGATATTTTAATTACATATCCTTGAAGAGAATAAAATTACGCAACTTTTTTCTTAAAATGAATTGTTTTCAAAATAATAGTAAAGAAAAACTTTATTTTTTCTTAACATAAAATTTCAATCACTTTTAAGTTCAACTCGTCATGAATCCAAAGTTTTTTTTAAACATTTTGACTTCCAATTCGTAAAATTTACTCATCAAAGTCTCCAGAAAATGTTGGTTAAACAATAAATAAATCAAAACTAAAACTTAAATTTTTATTACTTTATTTTTAAAAAAGTCAGGAACATTATTCAAAACTTCCAAACAAAAAAAGTCTGTGGGAAACTTTTGATTTGGAAAAGCTTTCAGTTGACCGAATAGAAAAGGTTAAATGTTAAAGAAACATATGACAATAAATTAAATTATAAATTGACTATAATAAAAGCAAGAATAATTATTACAAACATAATAAAGATGTGAATAAATTAACACCGACTTATAATCATTTATTTTTAACAAATTCATTTCCTTAAATGCATTATTCACTTTATTCACTGTCTTAATCGGAAGAACTATAATTTGCTGTAAGACTTGGAGCAATAGAATTAAAATATTTATTAAAAAAAACTCTTTTCCTTCCTTAGAAAGATAGGACATTAAACTTTTAATTTTAATTCTGCTTGGCTAATTCTAACACAAAGTGTTTTGGTAGATTAGAAAGTTTTTTATCTGCTAAATTTTGAAAAACCAACGGATTTTCATTTTTATAATTTTTGAAAATTTCAACTTTTCCGTTAGGATGATAACCAATTATTCGAGATCGAGCTTCAGTAATTTTCATTTGCTTAGGTTCTCGTAAAATGCCAGTTAACATCATATATCGAAGTTCAGTAAAAGTTGTGAATATTATATTACATGAAAACTGATAACAGCGAAAACTACGAAACAGTGTATTTCTTTCGTGTACTTGTTTTTAAGTTAGAATGGTAAGAAATTGGAAGAGAGAAACCAAAAAAAAATCCTCCAATTAACAAATTAATTTTTATATTTTTTTAGTATTATATCATTAATAGCTGCAAGAATAGTTACGCCCCTCGTTTTTTTCGACATCAAAAAAAATTTTTTTCGTAAAATCGCTGTAGTTCGGAACAGCTGTTCCGAAATATATATATCTATAACTTTTCTTGAATCGAGTTACAGCAAAATAATTCATGGCAAAATTGTAGCTAAGAAGTCAAGTTTTCAAACGGTCCTACTCATTTTTTTATTTTCTTTTAAATAAATTTTGTAGACTCAAAAATCCAAACAAGAATAGTAATGCCCCACCCTACCCTAATAAATATGTGAAGATGGTATAATTTTGATTCTGGTCCCTGCAAGCAAAAAATAGAATTATTTTTGAGTGACGTGTGCGATCAAACTCAGTATTTATTACCAAGTCTAAGAAATTACAAAATGTGTACTTGCACCTTTTTTTGCCAACCCTTCCATATAAGGAAACACATAACTATCCTAAGAATATTGAAAAGATATAACCAAATTAATCTATTGTAAAATTGATCACCGACAGCTAATTTGGGCAAAGGTAAATTCTGCGCGTAATCAAATTCGCCTCATAAGTAATTTTTTCCATTAAAAAATACTTTTTTAATAGTGAATATTCTTCGACCATTTTTAATGGTTTAAAGATTAATTACTTCAATCGATACTGTTTCACTTTTTTTCATTTGCAAAACATTCGTTGCATATATCTGTTCTGGGCATTTTAAAAGTGAACGGAATAATTCTATTAAAATATTTACAATATGTAGACAAACTTATTGAATAATCAAATTCTTGAGTTACACTTTTATAAAAATCGCAAAAACTCGAAGCGCTGAGTTTCACGCGTATGTCCTTCTATGATCCGGCGGTTCAATTTCAAGCGATCTATGAACCTAGTTACACTGTAGAGGATAAAGTAGGGAAGGGCAAATGATGCTGAGAAAACAGAGAAATGGTTTAATTTACGCATGCGCAGTACAATATTTCATTGCTGCAAATAGTGCTGCGCATACGCGAATATAACTTTTCTTCTGTTTCTCCAGTTTAATATACCCTTCCCTACTTAACCCTCTACGGTGTAAATAGGTTCTACAAAACAGAAATAAGATTTTGGTTAAAGGTGTCACATAAAACTCCTGATCAGTATTTGGATGACGCCTGTAGGCGTCAGTGACAATGACAGTATTATGAATTAATCTAGACATCTACAGAAACAAAATCAAAATACATATATCCCAAAATGTGTAACACTAAAATTGATTCGCTTGAGAAATTGTGCGAGGAATTTGTAACTTTTTTAGCCTTAAATTTGGAAGTTTTTAAAAAAATTTGCTACTTATAAGTTTTAAAATATAATTGATCAAAAGTCTTTACATGTCATTGTTTATGTTAAGAAGTCTTAAAAAAAGAATTTCAGATTGGAAAAAATATAAATATCTTCTTTCTACAGAGGGCACCTTGTCCACTGGTAAAAATTACTGGTTGTCATATTGTAGCTGATCGCAGAATCATTTAAAATAAAGAAATCAAATATCATTTCAAAATAGAAGACTTAATACAGATCCTAAATCTCTGATTCACTACTAATATTTAAATTGATCTTTTTTATGAATCATTTATGGTCAGAAAAATAGTGTTTTTTTAGATTTTGTGATTCAAAAGCTTGCCATTTTCTTCATTTTTAATGTTTTTGGGTATTTCGAGGTTTAGGACCTGCATACCAATCGTTGAGTGCAGAAAGTGCATAAAAATACAAACAGCAAATTCTAAGTAGTTTCTGGTAGTTTGAAGGCTCTACAATAAATAATGTCAAAGTTTGAAGAATGTGGGTTTTTAATGACAGTTTTACATTTTAGGAAAAAACTTGTGATTAAAAGATATAGAGCTTTAGAATAGTTGACAAATGACGGGTGTTAAGTTATAAAAGGTTAATTTGATCAGTTGCAAATGAATTTAAACCATTAAAAATAGCACATTTTTAATTTTCTAATAACTTTATTAATAATTATTGCATTTGTTTATAACTTCTCATTTTTCAACGGAATTTTCCTACTTTTTGACCTCCCGATTACATTTTTTCTTCTTATAAAGCAGACTTTAATTGCATAATAGCGGGCGTTAAAAAAGGGTATATGTTTTTTTGTCATAAACAAATGAAATTACTTAATGCTAGTTCCGTATATAAAAATTATTAAACAACTAACACATTGTCTGAAATTTATCAGATATACTTTAAATATTCCATTTTCAACTTTGAAAATCTGACATCAGATTGGTAAACAGCGAACCCGAAAACCACCTGGTAACATTTGGCACTTAAATATTTTAAAACTGTTTAAAGATAGTGTTTTCATTTTCTATAGTGCGCAAGTTTTCCCATCGTATATAGTATTTAAAAAGTAAAATTGTAATATGTAAAATTATTTTTCAATTGTCAATGCAGCATAGAATTTCAGCCTGAGAAGATCTGCAATCTCAAGTTGAATCGCAAATTTATGCAAGATTATTCTTTATCAATCTTTATACTGCAAGATAATAATATTTCAAAATTCAATACAATAAAATGACTAGTGAATAAAAGATTCAATATGATTCACTTGTCATTTTATTATATTGAATTTTGAAATATCACTGTCTTGCACTGGAGATTAATTAAGAATTATCTTCCACAAATTTGTAAATCAATTGCATATTATACTTGTTTTCTGAGACACAATTAAAATGCATTTTCGCTTAAAAAACTATGTAATTAAAGGATGACGTTAAAATATGTGGTTCGAAGAATTTTTATATTTTTCAAAAGATGCGTCATTTTTTGGGTGGAGTAAAAAAAAGCTGTGTTGGAATGTTTATGGAATGAATCCAGGAGCAGTTCCCGGAAAAGTCTCTAAGTGTCAAATCGATCACAGATTATTTTTCCTACACTTGTTACTTAAAGTTATAAGATAATGATGAATGTCGAGACATTATTAGGTGTCATCCGTTTTTTGTGAAACAATTCTTTTGCTTTTATTTTAAGTTGTAAATACTGTTGCTAGAAATAAATCAAGTTATGCATTTTTATAAAGGGATTTTTTTATTAATAATCTTGCTTATCTTATCAAAGTATTTACTAAAACTAAAACTTTGCTTATTAAATAGAAAATAATTTTGAAGAACTAAAAAAAATGTACAATAATTGCATGGAGAAAAATGGTCAAATAATATTGTTATAAGTATACAACTCGTTAACTTTTAAAATCATAAAAGCATTGAATTTTTAATTTAATTTTTTTAACCTTATATTAAGGAAATGCATTACATTTTATTCACCTCATTTTTAGGGGCAGTAAGTTTGCAGTGTAAGTTTTGAAAAACTTGTAATTTCAGTTTAAAAGAAATCTTCCCTATTATATAATTTAGTGTTTTTCCTGTACCTATAGTTAGTTTTACACGGAAAGAAAAAGTCCGTCAATCATTAATAGACTAGTATATTACTTTGAGACGGGACACAAAATCATTGAATGGATAACATACTTTGAGTCACAATCAGTGACGAGTTGCTTGCTAAAATATAGAAAACTGTCATCAATATATAAAACTCGTTCACTAAAATTTAGAAAACTGTCTATTAAATTTTCTATGACTATCAAAAGCATTCAAAAAATTCAACTTCTTTCAGAATTATCCCTAATTTTAGACACTATTTGGTACAGAATGAACACATTTTTTTCGTTGCACAGTTCCGATATTTTATTTACACTCTTAGACGCTTTAGACCAACACATTTTCCAACACATTTTCGCACTTATAATAACTA